TTTGACTGACTTGTTATTTCCTCCCCTCCTACCCCATGTACTGCACACACTCACACACAGCCCTCTTGCGTGCTCGGAATACTTTTGAACGGAGAATAATGAGATTCCAGTGGAACACTAAATTACCCACATTTGGGAATTCAGCCCTGGTCACTCATCTTGCCTTCCAGCCCCATATCTTTTTCTGTCTCATGTTTTAGTTTCTGGTGTTATATTCCCGGCTTTTACTGAGGCTCTAGGTTTCTTGAGGGCAGGGATTGTGTCTTTCTTGTCTTTGTTTTAAAAGGCTTTAAGGGTTCAAACTAACTGCAGCAGTGACTCGTGGCCGTTCCTGTCAGATACGCCTCTGCCCACCTCTCTCCTTTACTGGCTGACACTAATTGTGGCCCAGCCTCCGCGCTCCCAAGGCACTCACTTCTGTGCTTGGTTCAATAATTCATTGCAGTGACTGCACAGAATTCAACAGATATTACTTAAAATTAGGGGATTTTGCAGGGAAGTCAACAAGTTCTTTAGTATATACTCAGGGTACAGTTCTTTTGGTCAGAAACTTATCTGCAAGCACATCTCTCTGTGAACTCCTACGCAGCTTCTTGGCCTCAGTTCAAAGGCACTTAGCCCTGACTTCCTTAACTGTGTGTCCACAAACCTAGCTCTCCAGAGGAGGTGCCTGAGGCAACCCACTCTGCCAGGGGGCCTCTCTGCTCTGTCTGCTCTCATGCCCCACACCCAGGGGGGTCAGTGCAATGACCTCAGGTCCAAAGGTGTATTTTGCTCTTTCCTCCTCTTTCTTGATGGTCAAGAGATCCCTTGTTCATGGCTGTGAGTACATTACTGCACTCTCTCTCTAGTTAATTGGGACTGCTACTCTGAGAATGTATCTACTTAATCAGTATTTCGTTGACTTCCTAGAGTTTGTCTGGGCCTATTGGATACAACTTTTTCTTGGCCCTTTGTCCATCAAGATTTGACTTCATTTCGAGCTTGCCTCTTAGGAAATAGCCCACATATTCCAGTGTGGGCTAGAGGGTAATAGACTGTCATGGCTCAGAAAAGGAAATGATACTGAAAGAGAAGGTGTTTTTTGGAAAAGTGTACTCTCACATAGTACTTGATTCCATTCTGACGAGAAACTCATAAGGTAACTAACTACTCATCTTCCTTACATTTTGCAAATGATGAAATCAAAGGGTAGAACGAGGAAAATTTTAAAGCTACAGTGAATCCATATTGAATTTGAGCTTAATTTCAGATCGTCTCTGCATTATTTTCTTTCAACAGATCATACTTTTAGGGCAGTTAGGTTTACAGAAAGATGGCATCGTTCCTCTAGAGCAGTGGTTCTCAACCTTCTTCAGGCCGCGACCCATGAATACAGTTCCTCATGTGTGGTGACCCCCAACCATAAAATTATTTTCGTTGCTACTTCATAACTGTAATTTTGCTACTGTTAAGAATCAGGAGACCCCTGTGAAAGGGACATTTGACCCCCCAGATTGAGACTGCAGCTCTAGAAAATTCAATTGGTGAACTGATACAGATATGTTACTATTAACTCATGTCCATGGTTCATGTTAGGGTTCACTCAAGGTATTGGCCAGTTCTATGGGTTTTGAGAAATGCTTCATGGCATATATTTATCATAGTATCATACACTGCCCTAAAAGTATCTTGTCTTGTGCGCCATCTGTTCGTCTCTTTCCTCTCTTCTCTGGCACCTCTGACAACCACTTATCTTTTACTCTCAAGTTGAGGAAGTTCCCTTCTATCTCCATTTTATTATGAAGATTTTTATTATGAATGGGTATTGGATTTTGTCATGTGTTTTTCTACATCTATTGATGTGATCATATACTTTTTTCTTAACTGATGTGATAGATGACATTAACTGGCGTTTGGATATGGAGGTAATTTTGCATGCTTGGGCTAAATCTTTACCTTTGGGTTGTGGTGTATAATTCTTTGTACACATTGTTGGATTCGATTTGCTATTTCCCCTTTTTTCCCTACTGTCCATTTCTGGGTTGAGTTGTAAGATAATGCTGACCTAATAAAATAGGTTAGAAGGGTTTCCTCTCCTGTTTTCTAGAAGAGATAGTAGAGAATTGGCACCATTTCTTTACATGTTTCTCATTCAACTACAGACTCTTGTAAATGAGAATCTGTTGTATAAATATATCATGTCTACTCAAATGAAGTGGAAGTCTATAATACGTATCTTGTTCTAAACCTTAAAACTGCTTGAGGACAAAATCCAAAAAACTAACTGCCATCGAGTTGATGCCAACTCATAGCAACTCTATAGGACAGGGAGAACTGCCCTGGGGGTTTCCAAGATTATAACTCTTTACGTGAGTAGAAAGGCCTGTTTTTCTCCCATGGAGTGCTGGTGGTTTCAAACTGTTGACCTTGCACATCACAGCTCAACATGTAACCACTATGGCACCAGGGTTCCTTAGTACTTAAACATTTTTACTATTTTATGGAATTGATCGAAGATTGACTGACTTCAAGAACATTATTTCCTTGAAAGACGCCACTATGCCTCTGGTAATGTAGTGGGTTAATAAGCATTGGGCTGTTAACCGAAATGTTGGTGGTCCCAACACACCAACAGCTCCATGGGAGAAAGGTGAGGCTGCCTGCTCCTGTACAGTGCGGTTCTGAGGGACAATTCTTGTGTCATTTAGGGTGGCTATCACTTGGAATCAACTTCATGGCAGTGGGTTTGGTTTTTTAATCAGCTGTTCAGCCCCAATCCCTTCTTCCATTCTTTCTCCTTATTGTCAGCTAGTTTTTTTCATTCTGGTTTGCCACCCCCCACCCCACTCTCCAATAAAAAACAAAACACATAAAGAACATGTACTCTGGCCATCTGCTCACGATTCACTTTTGTATCTCTAGCACTATTGTAACTCTAGATTCAGGTATATATTGGGTGAAAGAATGAAAATTTAAATCCAGGCATATATCTGACCTGACTTAATGGGCATATACTGCTGAGCAATGGATCCTAACCTATCTATCTTTCTTTCTCATAGGGGTGGATGCGGGGAGGGGAACAGGGCCAGGTCCCTGGTTTGGGGGATAACTGATAACTATAACCCAGACCAAAAAATTAATGAGTGCCAAGTGTAGGTCCTTATCCTAAATTAAAAATGGAAGGGGAGCTGCTCTTAAAAGGGTCTTTCCCATCGACTCTGCCTTCCAAAGAGGCAATGGAACTGCTCAATACACGAAGTCCACTGGTACTTCAAGCTTCTTTGCTTGACATCTAAGATTGAGAATTTTGCCACAGGGTTGATTCCCTAGTAAATAATGGGTAGTCAAGTTAATTTTCCAATATATATCATAGGCCACTTTGTAAAAACCTTTTATTTGTACTAAATTCCTATAAACATGCATTTGAGACTTAATGTGAACATTAAAAAAGCTAGTGTAATTGTGGTACTTGAAGTGGTTTCTCTTTCAATTAGCCCCAAAATGGGCTGGCATTAAATAATGAGGTACATAATTGAATCAGTCCCTAATTGTTTACGTGGAGAACTGAGATAAATGAGTGGAAGCCTTGCTTCTGATGACTTCCTTGGTGCTTGCACATGTCAAATATGTATTAGGGAGCTGATTTTATTAAATTGCATTTATAATTGGAGTTCAGCAAAATATTTACATATACCTGCCTCCATGTGCACATAAAGAGAAAAAGAGCTGGCACAGAAGGGCAGAGTCAGGGGTGAGGAGACCTGGAGTTTAGTAGTTCTGGGTTTGCCATTACCATTACTATTAGCAAGTGACTTGGGATCCAACAGTTTAGATGTACACTAATTAAGAATGTGATCAGCTAAAGAACAGCTTTTGTTTTGACCTTTTTGCCCCACACCTCTTAGGAAAGTAAACCGATTTGAGCTTAAAACGTCATTGGTCTCTTTTTGTCCTCATCGCATGTCTTTGTTAATTTTTAACAAATGCTGAGAAAGTCAGTTATAGGAGCTTTGAGAATTCAAATTGTTGAGTGCATCTCTGCTTTATTGATTCAGCAGCCTTTTTTACTTTGTTGTTGATGTTTTATTTTGTAAGGCCTGGGCGCCCTGAGAAGTGCTAGGATGCAGAAAGAGAACACAGATACCAGGCCCCCCATTCATCAGATAAATTTCTGGTGAGGTTCAGAATTATTTACTGAATAAAACAGCCCATAGGTCATTTTAATTAAAAGCCAAGGTTTGAAACCACAGGCTTAATTCCATTCTATTCATGAGCACCCCTAAATGCTATCTACTATTTTAGGAATGTTACAAGAAGTTTTAGGTTATAGCAGTGAACAGGTAAAGAGTTTTAATCCCAGGACAGTATTATATGGAATTACTGGGACATTAGAGATTATCTAATACAAGGCTCAATAAACTATGATCCATGGGCTAAACCTGGCCCTACCTCTGTGTTTGTAAATAAAGTTTTATTGGAACATAGCCATGCTATCTGTCCTCTTTCATGGAATCACAAGATTCCATCATTTTGTGCCATAGTGGGAGAATTGTACAGTTATGTAACAGACAATATGTGGACCATAAAGGCTAAAATATTTATGTGGTGTTTTACAGAAAACGTTTGCCAAGCTTTGAGTAGATTGAACCTCTTGTTTTATTGGTGTGGAAATAAGGCTCAAAGATAATGAATAAAACATTCTACATTTAGAGGGCTATAGTTGGTAGAATGCAAATACAGGTTACTTTCATTTTCCAGTCTCCATTGTAATATGTTTTTGTTGTTGGAGGGACTGCTCAGAGAATACATTTGTGATATCAGAATTTTGTTTATACATTAACTATACTATTACACTACAAAACAATTTGGAAGGGGGCCAGTAGTCTCATCAGATCCTAGGTAACATTGCTACACAAAAACCTTTTAAGTTTGAGTCAAGGGGTAGAATTTAATTGTAAAAGTCTGCTGTATTCTGCCAAGCTGTTTTATAACATGGTATTTTGTTGTTGCATGGACAGCCAGATGGACGAACTGTGGAGGTGACTGAGAATGAAGTTGTTCGGCCACCCCGAAATGTCGCAGCCAAGCAACCAGTAGAGGCAGACAAAAAAAATGAAAAGGTAAGTGAGGCACGTGTGAAATACGCAGGATCCTTGATAATGAGTTGCTTATTCTGTAAATGATGTTTTTCTGTTCCACACAATCTTAAGGATACCTCCACGTAAAGAAGAGTGTGACATTGGGAATTCAGTGTAGTGGATGAGTGGATAGTGAGAGTTTAAATTTACTTTAATGGGAAGCATTTATCGTGGAGTATTTTAAAGTTAGTCTGGCATTTTAAATATTTATTGTGCAAACAAGATTCCATCATTGCTTGAATGCCTTTTGAATGAGTAAGATTCCAGAAATATATCCCTTACTAGAAAACAATTGTGTTGCCTTTGTTAATAGCACTCCTGTCATAAAAAAGCTTACCAAAATTGCTTAGTGGGTTTGTGTTGTGAGGGAGACATAATTATCTACTTATTAGTGCACACAGTTTACCTTTATTTAGCAAAAGAGAATTCTAGAGTGGGGTCACTTAAAAGGTTTATATATACACTGAAGTTTTCCAGACATAACCGATCAATGGTGCATTCCTTTAATTTTCTAGTTGCCATAGTTAGAATGAAGCCATTTTTACTTGGTCTGGTTTGGAAGTTGTCAGAATGCACAAGAAACTCTGGTTTCTGCAGCTGTAGGAGAAAGGCTTCTCTTTAAATTCACTTTCAGGCATTGAATTCCTACCTCCCCGCCATTTTGAACCCTTTGCCTAATCCTTTTTGTGAGGAGTAGGGCCTGTGGCTAGCTATGTTAAGTAGTTTGTAAGGCCCCAGAAACAGTCATGTGAAATGGTTGCTGCAGTTACTTGATGGTTGCTGTTTCAGGACATCTTGGAAGGAATTGATGATAACCGTTCACCCTCCATGGCCTGGTGAAACGAGTTGAGGGCCAAGGCAGTGGCAGATAGGAGGTCTTGAAATAAAAGACACTTCTGGGTGGGAATGGGGGGCTAAATGTATGCTTGACTTTGCCTTTAGAAGATAAATAATTAAAAAAGAAAAATTTACCGTCACATTGATAGTAAATAAATGAATTGATAAAAACAAATAAATTCTTATCTTAGGGATTGTGAGTTTTTAGGGTGAATGGTTTGCTTGCTTCATAACCATTTCTCCTTCCTAGCCTTTCCTTATTCTTTGGCTGTCCCTCTTGATGATAATTTTATACTTAACTCTGACATTCATCCCTAAATTATTCAGTTTTGTAGTTAGAATAATCCATGAACTATCACGAATCTCTTTTTGATTAATTACATATGTTGATAAAGAGTACCTGGATATAAACCTGTCTAATGTGAAATTTTTTTATAGGAATAATTGTAAAAGTTGATACTTATTATAATGTGGCAGGCTCTGTGCAAAGTAGGGTGTGTCTATTTCTAGGAGTATACTTACATAGATTTATTAGGGACAACTTACTGACTACAGTGACGTAGTGGTTAAAGTGCTAGACTCCTAAATGAATGTGTGATGGTTTGAATCCACTGGCCGCTCTGGGAGAAAGATGTGGCATGACTCTGCTGGCTCTAGTAAACATTACAGCTTTGGAAGCCCTGTGAACCCTCCCACTCCTTAGAGGTCACTATGAGCCAGGATCAGCTTGAAGGCAGTTTCATGTCAGGTGTTATGTTTTGTTTTATTTTCGTATATATTATGTGTACTTTTAAGAATTTAATAAAATGTCTGTAGATAACCTATCTTAAAAATGAGAAATCTGAAGCTTGAGTTACCTGAGTACCATGGAAGTACTGTCAATTCTGATCAGATCCATCTGATTTCAAAGTCTGTACTATTGACTACACTGTATTATATCTGACTCTCCTAAAAACCCTGGCAGGCAAATACCAGTAGTCACATTTTACAGATAATGCCCCCGAATATTAGAGAGATTTCATGGTTTGCCTCGCATCAGATGGTTTCTGAACTAGGATTTGAATCCAGCTATTTTATCGCCAAAACACTGCACTCTGTTCCTTGACATGTGGCTTCCTTTCAGTGGTCATCTTGTTGTTGTTTTCAGTACAAAACTTCTACTTCTCATTTGTTGTCCTGCTTGATGTTTTGTGGGGTTTGTTTTATACATGCACACTTTCTGGGCAATAATAAATGCCACCGTTCATGGCTGATGTTATTGTTATTCTGCATCTTGGATTTATGCTTTTTGGTCCAGTTCAAGAAACGAATTTCTTCTCATTTAGTATGCTCTTGCCCTGTGTCGGTGTCTGTATATTTGTGTTCAAAGTGTAGCATCTCTTAGATTAATTTACATATGCATCTCAGTGTACATTATCATATCTTCTATTTTCATCTCCAAGCCACATCTTTAGATACTTGAAAAGCATGATTTTTCTGCTGTGGAGTAATCACACACGAAGCTAAAGTGCTGGGTTCCTTGCCTTGATACTTGAGTAAGCCACATTGATAGAAAGGATACACGGGAGCTTCCCAAAGTTCATGGAAAAATTCCATTACCTTTAAATTCATTTTCCCACCATCTTTTTGAAGCCACCCCACCCCCATTCCTTCATCTATGCCAAAAACTAGCTCTCAGACCTTACGTTACCATTGTTGTCTAAAGCTTTTGGGGGGCGAGCAAGCAAGTGCCTCGTTCGTTGTTGCTGTTCTGTGGTAAATGCACTCAGAGCCAGACTGGATGCAGTGTGTATCATATGCTGAAGGGAGGGGAGAGAAATATGCAATGCCCCTGCCCTCCTGGAGATGAGTCCACTGAAGGAAAGAGAAGCACGGGGACGATAACTGATAGCATGGTATGAACTGCCAGTGGAGAAAGATGGTCCTACTTGGGGAGTCAGAAAAAATTGGTCTAACTGGACTATTATCTGTGAGCTTGGTGTTTCAGTGAGAGAAACCTGAAAGAAGCAGGTGAACGTGATCCCAGGTGTGAGGGAGAGCTCTCGACCAGTCTGACTAGTTAGCATCAGGTCTGGTTACGATAAAAACTTAGGATGTGTTAAGCTGGGAGCAGAATTCTTAGTGGATCAGTTTTGCTTCTGTGATAGTAGGGGGCTGAATTAAGGTAGTCGTTTAAAGATTGTTAATAAGAAAAAAATTAATAAAATGTGGCCACCATTACGATGGCACAGGCTGAAGGCAGTGCTGTGCCAGTGTAGTCGACTATTTTAGTAGTTAGAAGAGAATCACTGATGACTGCTATTTAAGAATACTAATAACGCCTGATATTTTTATGATGCTATGCAGGGTGCACAATATTTTAGCTAATATACTGAATAACATTGCTTGTCTTGACTGATAAAGTTGGAAGCTGAACTGTATTTTATGTTACCCTCATTTTTTTACTTGAAAGAAAGCGACTGATGGCTAAACCATGGCTACTCAATTGGGTATTTGCAGACGTTTTCTCAACAATAGCCGAAATGATCCTGTCACTTTAAGGAAAACAACTGATAGTATTGGTTGCAAATGAAATTTGTTAACTTTTGGGAGAATTGCTTATAACTCAGTGAATCCCTATTTTCTGAGTTTCTGAATGATTGATGTTTGCAAAATCATGTAAGATTGAAAGGTCAGTCCATGGTACAAGATGACCAGTGGTATGAAAAGTGATACTGAGTTTTTCCGTGTACTTTATGAAGCGCCGTTTTATTTCTCAGAAATCAACCATGGCAAACCAGGGGTTAGCAGACTATGGCACGACACACAAACTAAATCTGGTTTTCTTCCCGACTTTGTAGAAAATAAAGCTCATTCGTTTAAGTTTTGTCTATGACTGTGTATCTAGAGCAGAAGAATGGCAAGAGAAAATTACTGGCTCTCTTGTTTGGTTGGTCCCTGTTCTAAACTCTGGATTTATCAGGATATTTCATTACCCAAAGTACTTAGATAATGCGTAGTCTTCATGGTTTGGGTCTATGACCTCGAGTAGCTTTGCGATTTCTTAGAATATGTTGAGGTCACCTTTAAGCTAAACAACACAGTTTTCTATGAATGGGAAGTCTTGCTAGGAAAACCTCATTTCCACCCCAGACTTCTGTTTAAACTCTTGACAAGTAATAGAACCAAGACTAGAACCCAGTGTCTTTACCCCAGGAGGTGCAAGGGGCCATGGAAACATGGTGAGATGATGGAGTTGGTTTTAAGGAGGCTAAGGTTGACTTAAGAAAGGGATCTCATGGTGGAATTCATTGGCTAGTGTATTAATGTAAAAGCCATGTGGGGAAAGGACTTCTTAGGAAAGGTTCCCTGTGAATGCTTGAGATTGTGAGTCAATAGCCGTGCTGCTGCCGACTGTGCAGTGTACCAAGCCTGAGGAGTTCACATCGAACATTTAAATTATTCAGTGTCTGGGATCATGGATCAAGTATGCTGATAGGATAGCTAGAAGTTTTATTGGACTGAGGGAGAGCTGGCGACCTAGTTTGGGATTCTTAGATTCTTACTTAGTTCGTACTTATATTCTTTAGTTTTAGATTCTTACTTAATAGACATAATATGTATTGAACACTTTTTGTGTGCAAGGTATTATTTTAGGCACTAAGAATCCAAGATAGGCACTGATAAAACAAGAGTACCTACTCTCATGAAGTGTGATGAGAGAACCAACTTTAAAAAATAAAAAAAAGCTGCATTCTGTAAGGTGATGCTAGGTGCTGTGGAAGAAAAGAATTAGGGGATGGGTAGAGAGATAAAGTACAGTCGTGGGACACACCGGACCTGCAATACTTTCCCTATTTCTTTCTCCCAGGAGAATGTATCAGAGTAGTAGCAGTGAACTCCCGTTAGTCCAGTTTAAGCAGGGAGTGTGACAGCACCGCTATGGAGTTGAGTTTGACTCAGTGGCCACCCAAGGGTATAAGTCCTTCTGAACCCCCCTTCACCTAATTCACTATTTGAAACATGCATTGCAAGAAACTTTGTGGAAGCAGACTGACATAGCTTTACATCTTTCTCCCTTGTGTGGACTAGTGGGTTTGAACGACCAGTCTTTAGGGTTACAGCCCTAGCACTTTAACCACAGCATCAATTTTTAGTTTTAAACT